CCCCAACTGCCAGCCACGACCCATTAGACTCAAGGTCCTGTGTGAAGCAGAATAGGGTACTGATGGGATAAAGGCCAGGAATGACCCCTGGACACACAGACCCAAGTCTAGAAAACAGACGGGGTCAGTATGACGGATATTTCACACTGGCATTTGAGTAAAAATCATCTTTGTTCATCACACGAGCACTCACCAAGTAAGCGCCCTAAACAGAGGACGACTTGTCAACCTGACCCTGGTGAGTTACAGCCCGTCACCTGTCCATGCAAGAGCCGTGGGCCACACTCGCACACGACGTGCTCTCCAGGTGCAGCCTGCACCTCCAGAGGCCGAGCTCCTCGAACACCTCACAAAGCTCACTGGCAAAAAATTCCAGTGGCTTCCAGACCTTTCTCGTCTGTGGTATACCCATGGCATATGCCTGTAGTTCTTTTAGTGAGGCACAGAGTTTGAACCTCAGCACCACATAAAATAAATAAATAATTTTAAAAAAATCTCCAAATAACTAACAATCCTTCTCCATACCACTCAGAATTAAAATCGATTTCGTGGCTCCCCAGCCTGCTGCTGACCTCTCCCTGTGGGCAACTACCACAGCACAAGGCCACTTTTACTTCCTTCACAGAAATCTCAATGGAAACAATATTCCTTGCCGACAAAATATTCCAGTAACATTAAGACCACAGATAAACCAGACCAAAAGGGACAGCTCTGTGAGGGCTACAGTGGAGGGGACCCGGGGAGCACCTGGCCAGGAGGGTCGAGCATCCGTGGCGAAACTGCACCCCCTGGCGGCCATAGTGAGAAGGGCCTGCCGATCTGAACAGAGGCCCAGGGCAGACAGACCAGGGAAAATCCCCAAAGGCTGTTTGCCGTGCGGCATTTACACAACACACCTGTCTGCAAAGGGTCACACTCACCGGGGAGTGGCATGTGTGACCTCCAGCACGCCCTGAACAGGCGTTGAAAATTAAACACCAGAGAAACACTGGAGCAAGAAAACAAGTTTTATTCAAGAGACGAGAGAGAGAGAGAGAGAGAGAGAGAGAGAGAGAGAGAGAGAGAGACTCCTCTGGAGAGGAGGGTCCAGGGCTGGTGCCAGGCAGTGGGGGTGTCTTGCCCCTGATAGATTTCAGGGTTCCTGTCTTCTCGTGCCTACGTGAGCAAAGGGCAGGGAGAGCGCTGCCAGGGGCTGACCGCTGAGGTAGGCAGCCTGGTGCTGAGAAGTGCTACCTACCCACTTCCTTTTCCTTAATCATCACCAACCTGCCCTTTGCCGGTCTCACCACCATTCGGCCTTGCTATCCCACTCCTTGGTATTCATCCAAAAGAACTAAAATCGGCATACTTTAGGGATACAGAGATGGCATTGTCCACAGCAGCAAAATCCACAAGAGCCCAGGTTGGAACCTGCCATCGACAGAGAAGTGGAGAAAGGAAATGTGGGCTATTGACAGCGGAGCTCTACTCGGCCACAGGGCGGAGTAGAGCATGGCACCTGCAGTAAACGGGTGGCATGGAGACACCACGCCAGGCGAAACGAGCCAGACTCAGAACGACGACAAGGTGCAGTGTCGGCCCTCGAGTGGGAAAGCCAGAGAGGAACTAGGCATCTGAAGAGGAGGAGCCCAGGAAAACAGGAGTGAGAACAGCGCAGGAAAGGAAGGGGACTGCGGGGGAGATGGGAAAGGGCGGGAGCTGCAGGTGATGGTGACCTCATCGCGTGGTGGCGTGGTGTGGTGCATGGCCGTCTCACAGTGAGCTCCACTGTACATGTGACCACAGAGCACCAATCCAAACACAGTGAACAAGGGAAGACCAAGAGAGAGGAGGACCGGCCGAGGGGGGAGGAGGAGGAGAGCGGAAGTACTGGGGCCTGAGATGGAGTGGATCATGGCGCATGCGTTTGTAAATAGTCAAAATGAACTCACTATTATGGGCAACTATAACATACGAATAAAGACATTTTTTTAAAAAACACTGTAAGAGGGGCTAGCGCTGTGGCTCGGTGGCAGAGCACTTGCCTGGCATGGGTGAGGCACTGGGTTCAATTCTCAGCACCACATAAAAATAACTAAAAATAAAATAAAGGTCCATTGACAAGTAAAAAAATATTTAAAAAATAAAAACACTGTCAAGGAAAAGTCAAGCCACAGGCTGGAAGAAAATTTATCTCCTAAAGAACCTGTATCCAAAATATATAAATTTAGAACTTTCAGAACCCAATAAGAAACAAACACCCTAATTAATACCCGGCTAAAAACTTGGACACTTTACCAAGGAAGACACAAGATGGCAAATAAGCACATGAAAAGACTTCAACATCATAAGCCCTTAAGGAAATGCAAATATAACCACGAAAAACCCCCAACGAGGACCTGGAACCCCCGCAGCCAGGGGAGTCTAAGGTGCACAGCGCCTGGGAACAGCTGGGCCGCTTCTTAAAAAGAAACTTCACGCACCCTACAACTCCGCAGTCTCGCCCCGAGGCTCCGAAACGACAGGACGGAGGTACTGACCCAGAGGCAGTCCACAGCAGCTCTGTCCCTCCCATAGGAGGAGCCCCTGTCACTGCCCGCACACAGACCCACACACCGGACACCCTATGGGGGCGCCCTTACTGCTCGGCGGGAACAGGGAACGACCATGGGTCCATGCTGCGATGTGGGCACACGGGAAAGTGACTGCGGAGCAAAAGAAGCCAGGCTCGCCCCAACAGAGCACACGTCCCTGACCTTGTTCACACAGTCCAAGGACACGCAGACATCAGCACAGCAACAAAAAGCCAGGGACTGGGGGGCAGGGGACAAGGAGGCAGGTGGGAGGCGGTCCGTCCTCCTCTGGAAAGAGACCTGCCGCCCCTGGGAGGGAAACCTTTACTGTGGTCCTTGGAGGAGCTCAGTGGCCACATCTGGCAGCTCTACATGTGGGCTCAGCCTCTAAAGCCAGGGTCAGCAAACGACTGCCCACAGGCCGCCCTGTCCCTCTGGGCAGTCCTGCAGAACACAGCCCCTACATTCACCACCACACGGCTGTCTTCGCACCCCTGGGCTGGAGTGGCTGCCACCACAAGGCTCCATCACCTGATGTGATGACCATCTGGCCCTTCAAGAGTCTGCTGACTCCTGCTCAAAGAAACGTGCTCTGCGTGCCAGACACGGGCACACTGTTGACAGCAGCAGCGGCTGAGGACACCCACGCGTGCGTCGATGAAGATGAGTAAAGCAATCAGGGACCCAGCCTTCAACTACAGTGATACACTGACCCACGGGCGTGTAAACAAGGAGAGCCTCAGAAACACGTCACCTGAAGAAAGCCATCTGCACCACGTGACATCACAACGCAACAGCACCAAGCAAGGCAGCACCAGGGCAAAGCAGAAGGCAGCGAGGCGGCTGGGGGCTGCCCTCCAGAAAAAGGGGCAGGGCAGGGGCAAAAAGCACTTCAACTTCTCCTTTATTTAAAACAAAACTGACCAAAATGTTTTAAGAGCAGATTAAACTTAAATCTGATGCTTATCAATATCCTAGAAAACCAGAGAGAGGTTTTCTGCGGGCTCCTCCCCACCCAGCTGCACATCACCCCACCTTCAAACAGCTGACTGAACTTTTTCAAACCAACAGATATTCATGAAACAAAGACAACTTCCCCTTTTATCTTCTGAAGTTAAGTGATTTACCAATGTGAAATTTACCCTTCAAAGGAGGCCTGAAACAAAGTCCCAGTATGCTTTGTACAAAAAATGGAGCTAGCCAGGCGCGGTGGCGCATGCCTGTAATCCCAGTAGCTCAGGAGGCAGAGGCAGGAGGATTGAAATTTCAAAGCCAGCCTCAGCAACAGCGAGGCGCTAAGCAACTCAGTGAGACCCTGTCTCTAAATAAAATACAAAACAGGGGGCTGGGGCTGGGGCTCAGCAGCAGCGCACTGGCCTGGCACATGTGAGGCACTAGGTTCGAGCCTCAGCACCACATATAAATAAATAAATAAAGATCTATCAACAACTAAAAAAAAAAAAGGTTAAAAAAAAATACAAAACAGGACTGGGATGAGGCTCACTGGCTGAGCGCCCCTGAGTTCAATCTCCAGTTAACCCGCCCAAAAAACCACACCTATAAAATCTAAACCAGTGGGCACCTGAAAGGCACCTACATGAACAGACCGGAGGGATGACCCTGGGTTTCATCGCTAGGGACATCTGGACGCCCTGGAGCAGAGGGACAGGGCTGTGGCGGAAGAGAATCCGTGGCAACAGAGGACTGGGTGAGGCCTCGCCCCACATGCTGCTGCAGAGGGCGCCTCCAACGCCAGCTCACGGGCTGTTTCAGGCCATAACTTCACAACTGGACATTTTAAGCAGGATTTTCTGAAACGAATAACCATTAATTTGGGAGGAAAAACAATGTGTGTGCACACAGCCCTGTGTATGAAACTTTTGGAATCACCGGCTGATTGACTATCCAAAAAACTTCTGTTTACACACACGCAAAATCATTCTGTTCATAGTGACATTAGAGGGATGCCACCTGAGCAGCAGGTGCTCACCCTGATGGTCACATGCCTAAGGATAAACAGCAGTGGTGCACAGGAGGCACAGGTCCCCACAAAACCATATCGCACATCTGTAAGGACGACCTAGGAGCCAAGGCCGAACAGAGCACACACTCGCTGCCAGGCGGGCACCCCAGCTCATCCTGCCATCAGCTGGGACAGGCGGCCAGCCTCCCCACTCCCCCAGGAGGGCCTGGAGAAGGGTGGGCAAGGCTGGAAGCAGAACCAGCCCTGGGCCCTGGCTCCAAGGAGCGGGATGCCAGGCCAGGAAAGCGCCCCACTCAGAGAGAACCCAGACTTGCACCCTCCCGACCGGGGATGAGCGGACAGACGCACGTGGCTGTACGGGCAGGCGTCACTGGTCATCACAACACTGGAAGCATCTCTGTTTAAAAGTAAACATGTGAGACAGATTGCTAAGGTGCCAACGGCTACAGAAATCGTTCCATTACCTTCTCTCCAGGTTTGGGTGATTGCTGCAACTTCTCATAATCTTTCTTAGTCTCCAAAATTTTTTTCACAAGTCCACCTGTTGAAAATCAGTGATTGTAGGTTAAAGATATTCTCTGTTCCAAGAAGCTATTTCCAAATGGGTGGGAGGGTGGGAAAAATACTAAATTCTATACTAAAAAGTTTCAAATAATCTATTTGATGAAGCTAGTCTACGAGAGAATGGTACAGCAGCTGGTATTGGAAATCAACTATAAAACTTTAAAGTCTAAGAAATCAGCTCATAGAAAGGGGAAAAGCTTTGGAAATAAAATAGATTTTCTTTTCTACTTCCAGAGTCAAGAAGTATTAGATTAACACCACAAAACATGACCATCTATTACAAACATAGCAATTCCAAATTATTTCTAAGTACTGCTATATATATATATATATATATATATATATATATATATATATATATATATATATATGCAAAAATACTACATTTCTTTTAGAATTGCAGATGGGATATATATCATACAAAAAATCATTTTCTTGAAAATATTATTCCACCTGACCACATATCATTATGGCACTGACAGAATACATCACACACACCTACATGGTGAAGACCACAAAGCTCCAAAAGGGGTTGAGGACTATTTCCTTATATTGCAATAGAAGGGATGCCAGCAAGGACTCAGTTTAAACTATAGAAGCATGGAGGTGGGGACAGGTACTAACACACACACACACACACACACACACACACACACACACTTCTCCTTTTTTGAAAATGGAAGGATCCAGCTGGGTATGGTGGCTCATTCCTGTAAACCCAGTGGCTTGGGAGGCTGAGACAGGAGGATCATGAGTTCAAAGCCAGCCTCAGCAGCAAGGCCCTAAGCAACTCAGGAAGACCCTGCCTTTAAATAAAATACAAAAAAGGGCCGGGGATGTGGTTCAGTGGTTAAGGGCCCCTGGGTTCAATCTCCAGGACCAAAACAAAAAAAGAAAAGGAAAGAAGATGGAAGGATCCAGATTACAGGCCACGTGGCTGGGCGCTACAGTGTGTTTTAAAGCAAGCCATGAAAAACAACAAACACCCCCCCCAGGGGTGGACCAAGCAGCTGGGATCTGCCTGCAGTCCCAGAGCCAGGGGGAGGGTACACTGCCAAGGCCGGGGCCCAGGCCATGCCCCAGGCCATGCCCGACCACTGGTGACCTCAACACTCAAGCCCGCAAGCAGGTTAGCATCCCGGCAGGCCTTCAGTCTTTTTCTCTTGTCGGTTTCCCTGTTATTGTCTTCCATGTCAGTTTATATGGTTTCCTGCTGTGCTCGTTATTTCACATTTTAAAATAATTTTAATATTTTTTTTACTATTTTTTCCCTCTTTCCTTCTCTCCTTTATATTCCACCCCTTTTATCTTTTGCTTTCTCTTCTGTACCTATTCATTCCCCAACATTTTTTTTTCGTTTTTTCTCTCTTGTCCTTTTCCTTCTATTTTTTTTAATGTAGTTTACTGTTGATTTTACTTCCTTATAATCTGACTTTTTCAGCATATGATCACCCCCTTTCTTCTCCTCAGTTAATGGAGAGGCAGAGATCATTCGCCCCACTGTATACTATCTCCAAGAAACACACCTCACAAGCGGAGGCAGCAACAGACTCTTAGGTGGAAGGGTGGAAGATGCCCCTCCATGTCGATGGAGACTGACGGCGAGGTGGAGCCACGCTCGTGTCCCAGTCAAAGCAGATCCCAAGCCCAAATCAGGAGGAACAAAGAAGGTCTTCACTGCTCATAAAGGGAACAATCCAGCAAGAAGATATAATAATTGTAAATACTTATGTTCTGGTTGCTGGGGTCCAACATTTTATAAAACAAAAATTACTAGGTATAAAAGGACTAACCCCGATCCAGAATTAGTGGGAATTTCAATATGCCTCTCTAACTAATAGGTCACCCACACAGAAAAGCAACAAGAACACATCAGATTTAAACCTTATTTTATAGATAAGTTGAACTTAACAGACATCTACATAACATGTCATCCCATGACAACTGCTCCAAAATTGATCATATATTAGGCCCTAAAGCAAGTCTTAGCTAATATAAAAAAGGAAAGAAATCATATCTTGTATTTTTTCAAAAAATAATGAATGAAATTAGAAATCAACAAAAAAACTACAAAGACTATACATACTTTGAACACTACACTCTTGAATGATGAGTGGGTCACTGAAGAAATTAAGGGGGAAATTTAAAAATACCTAGAATCAAACAAAGATGGAAACACATCAGAGCACCATCTCTGGATGCACAAGGCAGCACTAAGTGGGAAGTTCATAGCTACGAGTACTTCCATGTAAAAACAGAAATCTCAGACACCTACTGATACATCCACATGTCTTAGAAAAACACAAACAAACCGACCCTAGTTGTCTGGAAAGAAATAAGGGTTAGAGTTATTATCAACTAAAAGAATACCAAGAATCGATGAACTGGCATAAATTGAAAAAATAAACAAGGTTAATAAACCTCTAGCCAAATTAACCAAGTCAGAGAAAACCCAAATTAATCACATTAGATGAAAATGGAAGAATTACAACACACACAACTGAAATTCAGAGAATCTTTAGGAGATAGATATTTTGAAAACATACATGCCAATAAATTGAAAAGGCTAGAAGAAATGGACAAATTTCTAAACACATATGCCCCTACCAAAACTGAACCAAGAAGAGAGAGAAAACCTAAGAGACCAACTATAAGAACTGAGGTTGGAACAGTAATAAAAAGCCTCCCAACAAAGAAGAATTCAGGAACTGGCTGATTCACAGTTGAATTTTATCAGAGCATTAAAGAAGAATTAATGCCAATACTCCTCAGATTATTCCACGAAGTTGAAACTCATTCCGACTTCCAAACTCATTCTAGAAGCCTGTACCTCCTTGATAGCAAAAACAGATAAAGATACTTCAAGAAAAGAAAACTACAGACCAATATCATTGATGGAACGTAGACACAAAAATCCTCAATAAAATATTAGCAGCAAATCAAATTCAACTACACACTAAAAAAGATTATTTACCTTGATCCAGTTGGTTTCATTCCAGTGATACAAGGGTGGTAACACACGGAAACCAATAAGTGAATTAAACCAGATAAGTAGAAGCAAGGACAAAAATCATCTCAAAAGATGCAGAAAAGGCCTTAGGCAAAATCCAACACCTTTCATGATAAAAACCCTGAAGAGATTAGGGATAGAAGGCACTCACCTCAATATCAAAAGATATCTGTCTACCTATCTCAGGTCCAAAGATAACATCATACTGAATGGGTAAAAACAGAAAAATGTTTCCACTAAGACCAGGAACAAGACACGATGTTCATTCTCAGCACTCCCATCAAAACAATACTTGAAATTTTAGCCAGAGAAATTGAGCAAGAGAAAGAAATACAGATAGGAAAGGAAAAAGTCAAACTTTCCGTATTTGCAAATGATATGATCCTATACTTTGAAGATCGTAAAAGTCCTTCCAGAAAACTTTTAGAGCTGATAAATTTAATAAAGTAACAGGATACAAAATCAACATACAAAAATCAATATTCTACACACAAATAATGAATTCACTGAGAGAGAAGTCAGGAAATAATCCCATTCACCATTCATTTCACAAAATGAAATACTTGAAAATAAACCTAACCAAGGAGGTGCAAGCTCTCTACAATGAAAATCATAGAACCCTAAAAAAGAAACTGAAGAAGCCTCTCAAAGATGGAAAGATCTCCCATGTTCATGGATAGGCAGAATTAACATTGTTAAAACAGCCATATTTCCAAAAGTGATCTACAGAGTCAATGCAATCCCATCAAAACACCCATGATGTACTCACTAGAACTAGAAAAAGCAATCCTAAAATTCACACGGAAGATCAAAGACCAGAAGAGACACAGCAAAAAGAGCAAAGCTGGCGGCATCCCAATACCCAATTTTAGTAATACCTAAAACAGCACAGAACTGGCATAAAACCAGACACGCAGACCCATGGAACAGGACAGAAGACAGTCCTCTCACTCTGCATAAAGGTGCCAAAACATTTCAGTGAAATGCTCTTCAACACATGGTGCTGGGAAGACTGGACAGCCACCTCTCACTCTTATAAAAGTAAACACAATGTGGATCAAAGACCTAACTGTAAGATCAGAAATATTTCAAATATTAAGAGAAAAAAATAGAGGAAACATTTCAACACATAATCACAGGCAAAGACTTCCTGAAGAAGACCTCTATAGTTCAGGAAATACAGAGAATTGATAAACTGGATGGCATCAAATTAAAAGCTTCAATATCGAGGTTCCTTGAAAAGCTACAAACAGATGGGTCCTATGATCCAGCTGTAGCACTCCTTGGTAATTGTCCAACAGAATTCAGGTCAGCTTATCTTAGAGATACATGCATACCTGTGTTCACTGCAGCATGATTCACAATAGCCACATTATGGAATCAGCCTAGTTGCTGTCAACAGATAAATGAACAGAGAAAATGTGCAGGTATGTGTACATATTACATATACACACAGTGGAATCTTATTCAGCCATAAAGACGAATGAAATTATGTCATTTGCAGGAATATAGACGAAACTAGAAAACATAATTTTGAACAAAACAAATCAGACTCATAGAAAAAAGTATTAGATCTTTTCTTTCAAATGTAGAAGAAGTAAAAAACAAGAAAACAGGGGGATTCCCTGAAATTAGAAGGGAGACCAGTGGGAGAGAGAAGGCGACCAGAAGGAGGGAGGGAGGTGGGTGGGGAGGTACTAGGGAGGGAAACTGATCAATCGCGTTTTCATCAATGCCCAGTAAAATGTGCCATTCTGTATGATTAATATACACTCAAAACAATGCTAATAATGTAAGATGAAGATATTAAGGGAACTAAGTGGGTAGTACACAGGAATTTTCTGTAATATCTTTGCAACTTTTTTGTTGATCTAAAATGATTCCAAATAAAAGGTTAAATAAGAAAGAGTGACAGGGGCTGGGGATCAGAGGCAGAGCCCTCGCCTAGCACATGTGAGGCACTGGGTTTGATCCTCAGCACCACATGAAAATAAAGACATTGTGTCCATAACTACAAAAAAATTTTTAAATAAAAATAAAAACCCTGTTTCCTACAGGGTGAGGGAGAATATTGGGTAAAAGAGACAGGGGTCCAAGCCCCACACCTTTAAATAAATATACCTGGTTTGGGACACTTGGCCTTAAAGCTATGTGAAAATTCTATGTGAAGAGAAAAACAAAATTATGAATATTAATGCAAAACAGTGAAAGAAAAATAAGAATGTCAAATTAGTAAGTATATGCTCATTATTTCCTAACTTTAAAACAGTTATGAATCTGCTCTCATACTTCCCTAATGGGATATACCTTAAGAACAAAAAGAGAGAAATTCCCAACTTGCTGTGCGTGCACACTGTGGGAGCACGCACACTGTGGGAGCACGCACACTGTGGGAGCACGCACGGCTGGTGCTGCTGGCAGCCGTGATTTGGGGCAGCAAATGGAAGAGGTGCCTGAGCAAAATCAAAGCTCACAGGCAGAACCTTCAGTCCTAAAGCTCAACTGGAAGCATCGGCAGGAACTCAGGATGTATTTTCTTATGCAGAACTGTAAGTCCCTCCTTTGTGCAAGGAAAACACCCAGAACCCAGGACTACGCCAGAAGCAGCAAGCAGCCAGCCAGGCTCTTAGAGAAGGAGCAGCTGCAGGGGAAACACAGGCGGCCTGAACACCTCGTCGCAGCCAAAGAAGTGTGAAGTCACTGGGCTGTGCTGAAAGGCCTCCAGAAGACAGCCCGTCCAGGCTGGCCCGCCTCTTCTGTGGGGGCGGCAGCTCTGGGTAAGCAAAGCCAGGGATGGGGACGGAGGCGGAAGGGCCATCGTCACTGCCCTGCACCCCAGTGAGAAACAGCCATGGCTGCACGACCAGCAGGGCCCCAGGCAGACACGGCAGAGGTCTAAGACCACCCACGACACTCTTACCAAACAGCCTGAATCCACTGGGTCTTCTAGGACAGGTGTCAGGGCACAAAGGGGAAGAACGTGGCAAAACACACCACAGTGGCCCAGCCAACAACGCTGAATGGTGTCACACTCTAGAGGACAGCCAGGCCAGCTGCACCACCACACGCGTGTCCGGGGAGGGCTGCAGGCTTGGAGCAGGCGACTGCAGTGCAGGGCGTGATCTGCACCCTGACTCCAACCAACCAACCAGAAAAAAGCCGGGTACTTGGCGACATCAAGGGATCCCTGTTAAGTTCTTCTGTATATGATAATGGGAATTTGTTCATTTGTTTTTTTAAAGAGTCTTCAACTTCTCAAGATACATACACAACATATGTACAGAGGAAACGCCTTCTCTGGATCTGAAAACAGCCGGGAGCAGGTCACGGCAGGCTGAGCCGGTGGCAGCTGAGCGGGTGGGCACAGGGCCTATGCTATGACTACTCCTCCCACTTGTCTAAGGGTCTGACATGAGGAGGAGCGTGCTTGGGAGGAGAACAAGACTGCTTCAGAGCCGCAGGCGTGGAGGGACCTTCGGCTCCAACCCCACAGGTAAGAGAACTGACAAGAAAAGGTCACTGGCACAGAAGCCGCAGCTCCTCCAGCTCCACCTCCTGGGGTGGACCGCCAGCCAGCTGTGCCCTAACGTAGCCGAGCAGACCCCCAGCCAGCGCCCCCCACACAACGGCCACTCACGGCTGACCCTTCCAAAGCGCACACAGAGGGGGTGCTCACATGTGCACACCAACACACCAACGGAGGGGTGCATACACGCATGCACAAACATGCGAACACATACGTGTGGACATGCCAACACACAAGAAGGAACAGACACAAACACACCAACAAACAGGAAACACACATACACAGAAACACACCAACAAAGAGAGGGGGTGCATGCATGTACAATGGAACACACCAAGGTGGGGTACACGTGCATACAGGCAAATACACTGACACACAGAGGGGAAGCATATGTGTACATGGGAACACAACAGCCCACAGGGGCACAAGACCATACATACAAACACACCAACACACAGGGAGCATGTTAATATGAACATGCCAACACAGAGAGAGGAGAACACTCACACACACCAATATGCCAAAAGAGGGGGCACACAATGTGCAAGAAAACACTAAAAGGGGGCACGCCCACATACACGCCAAAACAAACAGCACATGCATACATGAGAACACACAAAACACAGGTATGCACACACATACACATCAACATATCAACACGTGTCGGACAGGTGCATGCGAGCACACAAAAAGAAGGGAACATGCACACAAACATGTCAAAACACAGGGGCACACAGTACATGTGAACACGCCAACACACGGGTTGCACACACACTTACTCTAACACAGGCAGGGAGTACCATCCTATACACAAAATCACCAACACACATGGGACACAGGCACATACACTCAAGCATTCCTATACACAGAGCTGCACACATGAAACATGTAAATACACCAACATGCAAGGGGTGCATGAACGTACATAACAAACCAACAGGGTGGACACGCACAGGTGGTAACGTGCCAACACACTGGGCACACACCTGTACACATGAACACATCACCACAGAGGGGGCCACACATGAAAAACCATCACACACAGAGGGTGCACACCCAAACATGCCAACACACACAGGGTGGCCCATACACCTACCCGTGAAAATACCAACACATGGGGGCACACCCATGTAAACAGGAACATAAACACCCATGGGGCACATGCGTACATGCAAAAATCACAAGAGAACACGTGGATGTCCAAACACACCAAAACACAGTAGGGTACATGCATGACACAGGTATAAGCCAACACATTCACAGGGGAGTGCCAACACACGGAGCACATACATGTACACATGAACAGGACTACACACTTACAGGCACACGTGCCTGGGAACACTGTAACCACCTGAGGTACACGTTCAGGTCCATGCCAACACAAACGGGGCACACGCACGTATGTGCAAATGTGCCAATAGACAGAACACCTACATGCAAACACACCGACACCGGGCCCCTGGCTCGCACACTCTGATGTGTCACACAGCAGGGGCACACTTGCGCCCAGCATCGGGACTCACCGTGCTTCTCGCTGTCCTCCAGCTCCAGCGCAGGCACCTAAGCAAGAAAGGAACCAAGAAAAAAGAAGATGCAGGCAGCCGAATTCTCAGAATGACACTTGTGAACTCAAAAAAGGAAGGATCAAACTAAAGAAAGTAGAAAAGTAACCAAAAAAATCGGAAAATTCTGTCTACGTAAGTCTAAAAGCTGGAGCACTGACGTGATGTTTGTGTGTAGTTACTAGAAACACCTTTGTGAACTGACCGTCTCAATTTCGGACATTTCGGAGATCTGAGGGGCAGCCTCCACCACAAACTGATCATCGTCTTCATTGTCTGAATTCTGTGAATCTATAATCACATTTGAGACGGTTTTACCACTCCCTGTCCTAAATAAGAAGACACAAGATCACATCAGCAATGGCCCATCAGTCCCAGGTTTTCCCCAGCCCTGTGCAAGAGGTCACCTAAGAGGAGGTTCACCACCACCCCCCGCCCCAGGGCCTGGCCGCATGGGCACGCCTCCCCCCACGCCCCCTCCCTGCTGCCCAGAGCTCCTGGCCACAGCCAGCCTCCCTCTACCCGCAAAGACCCGTGGCTTCTGCCTCCCCCATGTGTGCCCTACCCAGGCTGCAGCCTCTGCCCTCTGCCTGGAAGGCCTGTTCTCCAGGCACGAACCTCAGGCAGGGGTGGCATGGGCAGCCCCAAGGCCACAGCTGCCCCAGACCTCCCCTCTGCACAAAGCAGCTCCTCAGCGCCCCTCCTGTGGCACCCCGGCCCTGCTTGCCCGTGTCCCCGCCATGGCCTGTATCCCTGCCCAGCACCCACTACACCCTTCCTGTCCACCCAAGTCCTGCCCTTGTTACGAGTCGGCCAACATCCCGCAGCCTGGCCCACCACCTGGACCTCCCAGGTGACCACCCGCTCTCACCCAGGTTCCCTCTGCGGAGGCCCTGGTCGCCTGCAGCTGGGCCATCAGCCCCTGACTTCAGCCCTCCCCAGGTGACCTGGCCAGCATGCTCCAGAGCATCCAGCTGCCACCACTCCAGAGGATGTGCATGCGCATTCTCGCACACACACCATCCTCCGCTGCTCTCACAGAGAAGCGCCTGGAAACAGGTCTCCATGTGCTGTCTCCTCGCCCTGCCTGGGTTCCACCTGAAACCCACCCTGACGGAGCCTGCCTGTGGTCTCTGCAGGACTTACGACTTCTGGACAACTGTGTGGCCTTTGGCAATTAAGCCTTGAACCCCTTCCACCCTATTTCACCCTCACTGTTTTCACGCTCAAGTCTTCCATCTAGAGACCACAGACTCGTAGCCCAACATGTCTCCTGAACCTCAAGAAGTGACCACACGCAGACATGTGTCTCTCCTCCTCATCACCTGCCACGCACACTGCTCTGCGGCCTGAGGCAAGGGCCCAGCCTCGCTTTTCTCTTCCACTGCTCACCTGCCCATCTCTTGGTCCAGCCCCAAGGCCCGTCCAACCCACAACACACAGACAGTGGAGCGGATAGCCAACCTGTGCAACGGGGCCACCCAGCCAACTCGTCTTACCTGTCCATCGTCAAGGTCTCCACGCCCTCTTGCCGTTTGACCCGGGGAGGCGCCGGTCTAGCACTGCCAGGTCGAGGTATTCTTCTAAACCCACCCAAACAATGGAAAATCAAAAGGACACAAAACGATGAACATTTCACACTGGACAAAAGAAAACTCAGACTCAGGGCAAGGCTAATTCCCATTCCACCTCAACATGCTAGTCAGGAGAGTGACAACACCCATTCACGTGACCCAGCTACCGACAGTCAGTACTCAGCCCATCTCCCAAAACCCACTCTGTACTACGTGCAGTTACACAGCTCAGGAACAGAAAAACCACAGAAGCGGTGTAGGCTGCCTTCAATGCACACGATTCCACCTACTTCAGCTCAAGCACTGAGGAGCCGGCAGGGCGCCACAGCAGGCCCCTAGCTGGCACTCCTCTCAGGCAGCAGAAAGCACACACCTGACACTGGAGGACAGCTCGCTGGGGGCTTCTGGATTCTCGCACACCTCGGATTTATCTTGGCCAGTAGCGCCAGTGTCTCCTTCTAAACAGGTACAATCCAGCCAGCAATTCAGAGAAAGAAACACAAAGAACAAGTGATATTTAATTCAAGATTAATTAAAATATATTTAATTCGAATATAAATATTAATTCAAACATAAGTATTTGAAAAAGCAGCAAACAATTCCAAGTATAAATGAACTATTTTCTCATCCATCATTTTAATGAAGATAAGACAGACATGATATCTAAATTTAGAGAAGATTTGGGGAAATGATGTACTGAAACTCCGGAACAAACTGGTTCAGCTACTCAAGAAATAAAACTCAAAATATAGGTACAATTTAACATAAAGGAAATACAAACTAAGAAAAGCAATGGCCAGGCGTAGATGTACATCTGTCCAGATGCACACCCCGTCAACAGGATGGCTCGGTGACTAAGTCCATCATGTTACCATCATATGCTAGGCCCTTGTGTGCGAAACCACATTATCATGTTAACGTATGATGAATAACAGCACTTCAATAGCTTAGTAATCATGTCTACACTCAAGGGGTCCCAGAGGAGATTAAGTTACAAGCAATGGAATTACCAGGGCTTTTTATTTTTACCCTCAGCTTTTCCTTTATTTTTAAATTTTCTACAGTATTTTTATAAACTGAATAAGTTTTCTTCACATTAGTTAAAAAAGATTGAATCAGCAAGTTACAAGCCAAACTACTAAGACAAATTTACTCCATTATTGAAAGAAATTTACACTTTAAAAAGTAGTAAAAACATCAAAATCTGAAAATTGGGAATGTACAATATACTCTGAGGAAAGAAACATCCTGAAATGTATTCTTTTCAGGTGACTCACACACGTGGATTCCCACACGCCCATCACACCTTCAGTGGGTGCTGCAGTTGGGACCTGGACGCTCCCCCAGGCCCACGTGTTGAGGACATGCACAGTTGGGCATTGGTGAAAACTCCGAGGACCTCCCATCACTGGGGACATGTCCTTGAAGGGGACCCTGGTCCCCTCTTTTTGCTCCTCAGCCAAGAGGTGAGCAGCTTTGACCCCCCCATGAGTTCCTGCTATAACATGCTATCTTGTAACAGGCCCAAAGCAACAAGGCCAATTGATCTTGGACTGACATCTCCGACACCATGATCCAAAGTAAACCTTTTCTCTCCATAAGTTGATTATCATCTTAGGTATTCGTCAGCGTAATAGAAAGTTGACAAACAAAATTGATAAAAATTGTTAAGATATATTTCCTCAAAATAAATTACTTTCACTAGTGCAGTGTGTAAAGCAGATTTGAAATGTTTTTTACCCACACACAGACACAATACACCAAGTATACTTAAAGCCATTCTCACCTGCATCACTGATGGAGTCACCTAAAAAAAAAAAAAAAGCACAAGAAAAAATTAATTTTCGTGTTAGTCAACCTCAATGCATCAAGTGGCCTGAACAGAATCGGAGGAGACACGTCCTGAGTTTGGACATCTATTGGGAAAGAGGCCATTTCCTGGCAGCCCTTCCTAGTGCCCCGGCTGCCGCCTCCTGCTATTTTCGACTGTGAATCATAAAATGCACTCCCATGAAAGCCAGAAGCAGGGATGTGAAGAGTGTATCACAGACAGAAACGAGGTAAAGCCCTACAGCCAGGAGGCCCTGGGAAGTGCCATCAGACAGCTCAGGTGGGTGCCAAGACGCTACACAGAACCAGGTGAGCTCGGCCATGCACCAGCTCCCTGAGGCCATCTCCCAGCCACACTCCTGCACTGCCCCAGGGTCCCTTCTCGAGTGCTATGCCTGGGGACACATGTGGCCCAAGCAGTCACAGGCAAGCAGCAGTGCCACAGGGCAGGGCAGGAGTGGATTCAAAGCTGAGATGAATCATCTTTTCATGACACTTTTTAAATACACGAACACACACGTATGGAAGGGCCGACACCAGGTGCATTTCCACGCTGGCCCGGACATCAGGTGGGGCAGAGTGACCAGCAATCATCCGCACCCAACCTCTAGCCAGGCCCAGTCCCACCCAGGCACGCAGAGTGCAAGCGCTCCCCGGACACCCGGGTCCACCTGCCCCTGGACTTCCCGTGAACACTACAGCCTGAGAGCCCTCGAAGGGGTAGCTCTGGGCAGGGCAGCGAGCTCGGAGAGCAGCAGGATTTCTATTTGGGGACCATCTATGGCAGCCCCAGAGTCATGAATGCTGCCACTTGCCCTCACACAGGATGCCGCCTGTTACCAGCAGTGGCCTCTGTCACTCATGGGAAAAGCCCCAGGGGAAACCCCAGGCCCAGCTGCACCCATGGGAGCAGGCATAGTGCCCGGCAATGGCTGACCCTGGGGCAGTCTCCTCCCACCAGCAAGGTGCACACAGGCCGTTCTTGCCTTTCTGCTTTACTGCTGGGTCGGGCTCAACGCTCTCACGCCACAGAGTAGTGGAGTTATCATCTGAAACAATAGTTGAGTTAGTAATGGTTTCTTTGGTTCCTGACATAAAACAGTTTAAAATCGGTCACTCAGACTGTACCCTGAAGGGCTGGTGATCAGTGGCATCCTGAGCCCTCTGGGTTAGGGCTAACCAGAGCTCACACGCCCACCTTTCCCCATGCTGCAAGTTGACCAAACTGACAAAGGCAGCTTTGAAAACACATCTAGAATGTTCCTCCTGCACTGTGGCTCTGGGATTGGGCACCAGACTGTGAGCAGGCCCCTCCCAGCCCACTGACCCAGGAGGGACTCTTGGGCCTCCCTGGGCAAAGCAGCCCGCATCCACCTCCACTTCTAGAACCACTCGGACCCACAGAACCACTTGGTTCTGCTGGCTCCCACCATAGTCAGGCCCAGGAGCCGGCTGTTCCAGGAAAGAAGGAGGAAAAGAAAGGTATCCTGACACATGTACTATCCTAGACATACTGAGAATCACAAAACAGGGGTCTCATCACTGTGCTCTGAAGTCTTGAAAATAGAAAAGAAATTGAATAGCTGAGAAATAAAATAAAATATTTCCCTATTAAAAACAAAAAGGGCACAGGAGGTGCTGGAGGAAGAGGTTTTGAATTATGGCAGGACCCAGAGCTGAAAAACTGACCCATGGTCCAAGACACACCACTGTCTAAATAAAGATGAAACTGGAAAAACATCCCCCAAACCCAATCCTAGATGTCTTAAAACCATTTAAAGAAATAGCTTACATCAGAATCAACCCGTCATTAACTAGCAAATAACTGCTTTATTTAGGTAATAGAATTACATTAAATTGATGATATTTTTAAAATATTTTTTTTTTTAGTTGTAGATAGACCCAATATCTTCACTTTATTTATTTGTATGTGGTATTAAGGATCGAACCCAGTGTCTCACTCAAGCTAGGCAAGTGCCGTACCACTGAGCCACCACCCCAGCCACATGACATACAGTTTTGTAAGGAAATCTCTGTAAAAATTATGTTGATTTAAACAGTCTAACAGCTAATTACTTATGATGTTTCCTAAAGGGTAGCCAAAGAATGAATATAAAATATTAAGATCTAAAAATAAATATGTTTGGCAGTTGTAGATTTGTCAATTTTAGAATGAAGCACTCTAATAAACGTAAGTTGTCATATTTTAGTTAAAAGTGTCAAAGATGTTCTATTTATTTACTTATTTATTTGCAGTACTGGGGATTAAGCTCAGGGGCACTCTACCCCTGAGTCACACACACTCAACACTTCATTTTTTTACGTTGAGACAGGCCCTCACTAAGTTGCTGAGGCTGGCCTTGAACATGCGACCCTCCTGCCACAGCTCCCCAAGTTGCTGAGGTGTGTACAACTGGGCGCAGCAAAGATTCTCTGAATTCTATAGAACCCAGGATCGTAGAAGGTAGATGCAAATGCACTGTCTTCTGTCTGGAGTTCAAGGGGATGAATTTATCTTTTCCAAGTTCTAGTGAACTTAAACAAGCTTTACTAAACCCCAAGTTCCCACAAACACAAAGGACATACAAATAGGCTACATACTCACTAAAAACACTAGAATCAATTTTTACTCACAAAGGGCAAATCAACCAGTTTATTGAATAATACTTTTAAAAGACTAAAATAATGCACTTATTAAGAAATCAAAGTTACTCTGCAGGGTGAAACAATCATTGCCTCAGCACAATCTGCTATCTGGAACTATCTGGTAAGCAAGAAATCCCACAGGGAAGGACGGGGCCTTGGCACCAGACTTCCCAAGTTCAGACCCTGGGGCTGTCACTGGACACAGACCTGAGTTGCAGTCCATCAGGTCCTGCGACCGAAACCAGCCGCTGGATGGCTGCCCACAGAGCCGCTGCAGGCAGTCCCGACAGTCCGCCTTCTACAGCGGCCTCACAGACTGCAGCCTCCTCGATTTGCTACTAAATGTCCTCACAGAACCAGGGATTTTTAAACATGAAAACCATTTCGGAACAAAAATGGTTACTATTGGGAAATAATGATTCTTTCAGTGAGGTAAGAATTCTGTGGCTATGTAGACTACCTCATTTTATTTTTTGAGCTGCATGCTGAAGTATTTTAAAATATATTATTAGGATGTTGCAATATGCCTTGAAATCATTCATAAAAATACAGAGCTAAAGTGAAGCATAATGTTGGAACCACTCAGCCTGGGTGAGTGCCTGAGTGTGAATTGCACTATTCTTTCTGCTTTCTTGTATTTTTCATGATAAAAAAACTGGGGATATAGGTCAGTGATACAGCGCTCGCCTAGCATGCATGTGCGAGGCCTTGTGTTCAATCCTCAGCACCACATAAAAATATATAAACTAAATAAAGGTGTTGTATCCAACTACATCTAAAAAATAAATATATTTTTTAAAACAAACTTAAACCATGCAACAAAAAGGAAAGAGGGCAGGAAGACCACGAGTTCAAAGCCAGCCTCAGCAAAAGCGAGGCGCTAAGCAACTCAGTGAGACCCTGTCTCTAAATAAAGTACAAAATAGGGCTGGGAGTGTGGCTCAGTGGTCCAGTGCCCCTGAGTTCAATTCCTGGTACCAAAAAAAAAAAAAAAAAAAAAAGGAAATGAGAGAAACTAAGCAAAAGAAAGGTACAGTTTACATTCCAGAGAACTTGGAATTGTCATAGGTTAAGAAAAGGCACAGCCTATAGCTGGCATTACAACATGGAGAGCAGGAAGAAACCATTCACACTTTAAAAAGGAACAGTTGAGTGCCTTTTTGAACTCTTCACCCAAAATGCAAAATGCTAAAAACAAGACCCACAAGTTCTCTTCGGACAACCTGAGGCAGCAGGGTCAGCGGGCCCCAGCACAGGCCCAGCGTCTCGGCGTCTGAGCTGCATCAGCTGCCTGCACCTGTTTTTCCCTTTTTGGCCCTGGGGATTGAACCCAGCGTGCTCTGACATCCCCCACCCCACTGTTGTTTGTTTGGTTTCTTTTTTGAGAAAAGGTGTCACTAAGTTGCCCAGATTGGCCTTGAACTTGCAATCCTCCTAACTCAGCCTCCTGAGTTGCAGGGATTACAGTGTGGCCAGCACTCTGGCCAACACAGCCGCTTTCCTTTCCTCTGAAGTACTTAGGAATGAGAGGTAACAGCCCAGGGCAGGGAGCCTGGGAACCATGCTCAGCGCCAGAAACAACTGCTTGCAGCCTCTGAGTTCCAGGAGTTCCCAACAGCACCCACAGAGCAGCAGGGTGACTGTGAAGGCACCCCAGCCCAAAGAGAAGGGTTGGGGAGGAAAAAGAGGGACCAGGGTCTCTCCCAGCCCCGGGGGCACATGTGAGCAGGGCTATGCTCCCCGCTGGACAACCAAGCTTCATTCTCACCCACAAAACACCCCACTGAGAAACAAGGTTTGCAGTGTGCACCTCTTCACGCCCCAGGTTACACTATTTTCACACTTGTAGATAAAATCCATGAAATGCTCAATACACGCCTGGTGGACAACTTCAACCTGTGTTAAAGTCCACAAGCTCTGATACAGCCTGATCAGGGGCTGTCTGTTCAGCTAGTGACCTGTCACACAGCACACCTGTCACTCAGCTGCTGTCCAGACACCAGCCCGCTCAAACTCAAGGCGGGCATTTGTACAACCATCTGCGATGAGCACACTGTGGTTCGGAGGACCCATCTGTGCATGTGCTCCAGGCCAGGAGGTAGTGAGTGGGAAAGGTGTGAACGTGGTGTCCCCAGCTACACTGACACAGGTCACTCCATGGCCTACCAATTGCCATTCCTCCAAGCCTTCACCACTGCCCTTACCCTCTCCTGCAGCACAGGACACCTGGCCAGCTCCCCCACAGGAGCCTGGAGAAGAAAAAAGGTCCCTTAAAAATAAGATCCAATACAAGATGGGGCTGAACTGTGACGCACATGTGCACAGTGGAGTAAGACCCAGCACGGCCTCCGGGCTTCCGCACCACGCCCGCCACACCAAGGCATCAGCCACTCACAGCACCCCTCCCAGCGAGGGAAGTCCTCAAAGACACCATGCAGAGAAGGCCCCTCGCCATTCTAGCCACATTTCCAGAGTCTTAAAAATGCAGATGGAAACAAAAACTTCTATCTTCTCCTAGAAGAAATCTACACTATTTTTTTTCTTGAATACAACTCAAAAATTCTAATATTTCTGAAGAATTTGGTCTCGGGACACAGAAGACTGGTGGGACTGATATTTCATTGAGGGCTGCCCACCCACGCGCAGCGGCACACCATCAGTGCTGGCTGTGAACGGGCGAGTGCAGTGTGTTGCAGACGTGCTGCCTAAAATCTTTATTGTGGAGAAATTCTAGCAGCACAGTAGGCTAAAGATTAAAAAAAAATTCCAATAGCAAAATTAAGAATGCACTTTGACATAAAAAAAATAGAAGTTAAACATAAAAATACATGTAAAGATTAACTTAAAGCTGTCACAATGGAGCAAAATTAAAGAAAATAAAACATCAAGTCATTTCTGATCTTCAGCACAATGTTAAAAAAATCTGACAAACACTGGAGTGGTAAGAATAATACAAAAAAACTTAGAACTACACCAAGATGTCGCAACTGTACATCAAGGTGTAGAGGAACTTAAACTAGAGAATACCTTTTTCTTACCTATTTCTGAAGCTGTAGTTTCCTGATCTGGTTCGTCATTTAATCCAGACGTTATGGGGTCTAAACTTTTACCTGAAATATTATCCTCCTTCCTTCCTGACATAAAATAGTTAACAACAGATTAACATATTACAAAGCTTTCAGTATCTGTTTGCTTTAGTTGGGATTTATAGGGGTCTGGGTCAAGGCCACCAAAACACCACCATGTCCTCTCAGTGGTCCACTCTCAGCCTCCACTTGGTTCCCATAGACTGGACAGAAGCCCCCTCCCCTCCATGAGATGCCCTCCCCACATCCAGGACAGCCTCTCCTAACAGCAGCCCTGTCCTCTGCCCCCTGCCCTGGAGTCCCGTCCCCCGCAGAGCTCAACACACCCTGTTCCCCCAAAGCCACAGCTGTAAACATCGTCATGGCCAGAACCTCAGGTGTGTCACCTCCAACCTCTGCGACTCTCCCTGATCACAGGTCACACATCCCACCGTCTACAAAGACCTCCGCGTGCGCAGTCAGACCTGTGTTCTGGTACAGCCGCCCACACAGCAGCCTGCCATTTCAGCAAGCGGCACTGCGCAGGTGCCCAGAACCCCCCAAAGCGGTCTTCTCTCGGATTCCTCTCATTGAAACAAGTGGCACCCCGTCCATCGGCACAGCCGTCGTCCTCTCTCCTGCCCCTCACACCCTGAACCCCACTGCTGTCGCCACCGACACCTGGTCCAAGCCACCACACTCCCCATCCAGTCGCCACGAGCTCCTCGCTGTCCCAGGCCTCCACTCCTGCCCTCCAATCTTACAAGGAGGCCCTTTAAAACACACACCCTAACTCTGTCCTCTGTCTGTCCTGCTCAAAGCCCTCCGGGTCTTCCAGCCACCAGCCACCTGTAGACACAGGGCAGAGGCCCCAGGCCCCTGCTGGGGCAGCCCCTCCCCCAACACTGCCCCTCCTTCCTCTCCAGCTCCACGGCTGGGCTTCCTGCCCTGCATGCAGCAAGTCCAGCAGCTCAGGTCTCTGCTCAGGATCCCTGGACACCTGCAGGTCCTCCTCCCCAGCGAGTCACCTGTCCAGATGTCCCCAGAGGCCCTCCCTGCCGTCCCTTCCTCCTGCTTCTCCTGGCTTTCTTTTTCACTAAAAATCCTCATCACTAATCAACATGAATACAGGCACCCTCTCGGCTCCTCATGAGTATAAATGTCTTCCAAATAAAGAAAGGAAGGCTGCACTGGACAATTTCAGTCCCAGGCAGACTTAGGGTAGCACACCCTTGGCTGCGGAGAACAGCCCTGTGGCCCAGGAGCAGCTGTCCTCCTGCCCTCCTCCACTCTGACCAGGCCCACGTGACCCTCTGAGGCTCCCCTGCTCTGTGATGGCGCTGAGGCAGAGAATCAGGTAGCGAACAACTGCCCCCGGCGGACACGCGCTCTCAGTCCCACTATGGCTTAGTCTTACCGAGCTGTTTCCCAGCATGCTCCTTCTTAGCTTTACTGTAGGAAGAGTTACGTTCTTTTTCTGGGGAAAGACTGTGTTCACTGGTTCTAGAGTCCCTTCTTCCTGACATGAAATTGCACAACGAAAACATGTATTACACTTAACTTGTAATGCTGAATAGTTACCAAATGAATGAAACCAAACACACTAATTCCAAGTTATACTTCCTTTAGAACACACTCCTCATGAGTTAGCAAAAATTATCCTACTCTTCTGTGGACTAGCCTTGGGTTCTAGGCTAGTACGGCTGTCCACATTCATCCTATGAACATGTGCCATACTCTAGTAGATGCAGGGCACAGAGGTCCCATGCCTTGAGCACCCCCGGGTCCAGATGTTTGTCCAGATACCAACCCACCCAAGCAAGGCCAAAGGTTTGGGCCGAGCACCAGCTCTGCTGGGGCAGACTTGGGCCAGGTCAGTGCCTGGCCAGCCAGCAGCAAAAATAGGAGCCCCTGAACTGCTGACCGCTGAGAAGCTCACTGCCGTCAAGGGTGCAGTCTCCAATAGAAAACTCTTGAAGAGCACCCAGAAAGAAAGAGCCCACGGCAGAAGGCGGCCGTACACACAGACGAAGGAAAACCCTGCGTGTCAGAGATGGAGATGCCTCAGCTGTGAGCTCGGGAAACCCGAAGAAGCAACCAAGATCCCTTGGATCAGGATGAGCAGCAAGGCTAGAGTTCAGATGGTGAGAGCAGTCAGTGAAACCAACAAGCCACTAACAACCAGGGGGAAGACAGCATCTCCAAACACGAAAACAGACAACGACTGAGCCACCACCTGGACAGACCCTGCAGACTGCAGCTGGAGGCAGCCACCCTCTGAGAAGTGGCTGCTCCCTTTGCAGGGGGCTCTTGAGTCATGTGGCAATTTTAAAATTCATCTGAACAGATAAGCAAGTAAAATGGCTTAAAACTTTTCTGAAAAGAACACTGACAAGAAACAGTAGTGAAACAGAGACCAGTGAAAGTGGAAAGCGAACAAGATCCCAGACCTTGACGGGTGCAACTAAGCCATCAGGCAGAAAGGCACCCTTAATTAGCAAGTGATCCTGGCACAGCAGGCAAAGAATTCTAAAAAAATAAGTCAGCGCCTTGGCATACGCAGGAATGAAAGTAAGAGATGAATACAAAGACTCAATATTAAAATGTATGCTAAAACACAAATCTTCAAGTCACAAATCTTTACACAAATTACCAAAAGCTTCAAGCACATAAAATTAAGCACTCAGGCAAATCCAAAACCAAACTGAACATAATTAGTACAAATGAAGCGCAAAAATATAAAAAACACACTTACTTAAAAATTGGCTGAGGTCCTTAACATACAAAGAGTTCACACAAAATAACAAGAACTCTTGCATCTCCAGACAGTCAATGAGGAATCAGGAAAGAACAGACAAATCCAAGACCCCAGTCAAAACTAGGGACACACATGAAAAAATGCAATCTCACTAGGAATTAAACTTCCCAATTTTTTGTCTATCAAAATCAGAAAGCCTTGGGGCTGGGGCTGGGGCTGAGCAGTAGCGCACTTGCCTGGCATGTGTGAGGCACTGGGTTCGATTCCTAGCAGCACGTATAAATAAATAAAATAATATCTATCAATAACTAAAAATATATTTAAAAAAAAAATCAGAAAGCCTTGCCAGGAGCAGTGGCACACACCTGTAATCTCAATGGCTTGGGAGGCTGAGACAAGAGGACTGCAAGTTCAAAGCCAGCCTCAGGAAAAGCAAAGCGCTAAGCAACTCAGTGAGACCTTGTCTCTAAATAAAATACAAAACAGGGCTGGGATGTGGCTCAGTGGTCGAGTGCCAGTACCCACCAAAAAAATCAGCCTTTAAAACACTGGAGGGTGGGCAGAGGGCACCTATAGAGGAGCCCCGGGCCAGCGCTCACTCCTCTGGGCTGGGACAGGGCACCACCAAGAGGACGTCCCTAGAGCATCACTGACTGACTGTTGGGAAGGGACAGATCTTATGTAAGTTCACTTCTGGATAATTCCAACTACCACGCTGTCCCACACTAACCTACAGGATTCGGGAAAGCGTGGTGTTTCAGAAACCACTACTGCTTTTCAGAGCCTCCAGCAAGAGCGGCTCTGGCCAGCGCAGCCCTGAATTCCCTGCCTCTCTGGTCCTACTGCTGGTGTGTCACAGTAACGTTCCATTTTCAGCCAAATCCCAGGCCAGACCTGTGAGCGTAGCTTTCTGCATGAGTCCAGTGCTCACTCCTGCTATTTTTAACCACAGGCACATATGTCATCTGCCTGCGTGCTCTTCATGCCCAATGGGAAAGACAAGAACCCTGCAACCCGACGACCAACACACACTCTGGAAAACGAAAATCCAATCACCCCCTTTAAGTTCCAGCATAGATCTGCAGCAAAAGGGGCGGCTTTGCCCTGAGTGGTGTGAGTTCACACAAGTGTGTACACATGCGTTCCCCCCACTGTTTGTTCCCAGGCACGGCAGACCTGTGACCAGCCACGAGTCTGCTACCAAAGAATGGGACGAAGGCAACAGAGCTCAGACCCACATCTGCAGCCACAGTCAGCTCGGCAGTACCTTCCTCTGAAGTTTTGGATCTTCGTTTTGATGTTTTTGATGTCAATGACCGGGACGCTGTCGTGGAAAACTCAGCCTTAGAGAGAAGAAAAGACAAAAATCAATGGAAGCTTCACACAGCAATACCACCAGACTCATTGTTCAAGCTCTGCCCAAGGAAACCAAGTATGAAAACAGCAGCAGCACAGGCTTTAGGGGACTTGCCACATGGTGCAGTTACATGCTCGGGACCTGAGAAGGAGTCCAGACCTCTTCCAGCCTCCACACAGGCTTCTCTGTGCAGCCCCAGGCAGCTCAGCAATCTGCTAAGGGCGCTCAAGAAACACTGCCTGTCACACGTGCTTAATGCCGGTCACAGTTGTCAGAGGACTGCAAGGCCCAATGCCCTGGAGGGCACTTGCTCACACTGAGATGCCAGTGGGACGAATGTGGGACCAGTGTGGGACCACCTCTGGATGTGCAGTCCGCCACTGAGACACTGCCATGTGACACACGACTGTACTGAACTACTTAAATGCATCTGTATGCCACTCTGAAAGTAAAACCTCTCACCTTGTGTTTCTAGAGAACACAGTGGGAGAAGGCAGCACACCCCCCCGCCCGCCCTTGACATGATTCCACTCTCACGCCCTCTCCCCAGAGCAGCCCCGGTGGCCCCCAGCCCTCATGCGGCTGACTCCATGTCCCTACTGTCAGACAATTATGGAAGTCAGCTAAGCTCTCAAGGGTCCCTTCTGCCAACCTCTACAGCATGGCCTCACGGGGACGACAGGCCACGAGCGGACCTCAGCCACAGGAAACACTGTGGGGTCCCAAGAGTTGCCAGGCCGAGCTGAGCGAGCGCCTCAGCGGGCCCTCCCTTCCCCACCAGCCCCCAACTCAGTCCTCTTCCCGACTCACCCCGAGTGCCCCTGTCACCACCTCCCCTCAGCACCACACATCACACTCACCAAAGGTGCAGGCCCAGAAACCACCCGACATGTGCCAGGAGGTATGCCACGCCACCATTCCTGAGACAGCCTTTCCCCAGCCACAGCCCCACTGGTCCAGGGAGGACACACATCCACGACCCAACTCCAGTTCACAGCTCTGGAAACTGCTGTTTAAACTCTACCTCTGTTTCCGCCTTGGAGTCTTTAAAGGATCCATCTGAAAACTTCTTAGATATCTCCCCTGAACTTGCTGACTGTAAAAAAAAAAATATATATATATATATATATACATATATTTTTTTTTTCCTTCAAATTTTGGAAATATTCACATCTGTAATACCTAAAAACAAATCAAGCTCTGGTCCATGATACTGACGTACAAACAAGCAACCCTTTGCACAGACCGGAGCAGCCCGTCCGGTCACTGCTGCTGGAACCTCAGTGCTCCTGGCGAGCAGCACAGGGGCTAGGACACCAAACACTCCTGCCTGGCAGGGGACTACGCAGAGGCCAATCCCCCGACCATGACAGCCCAGGAGATGCAGAAATGGGATGGGATGAATTTAAACTCCAGGGCCCACAAAATATTTGTCCGTCTTCTGATATTTGAGCATCTTCTAATAACGGGGCAACTGGAATGACGTGACTCTTCATAAGCAAAGGCTGCAGACAGACAGTCAGGAAGGCACCCTCCTAAGCCACATGACTCCTGTCAACGCCATCTACACATCTGGACACAGGATGTCAAAGGACACCCGTTTAGTATTTCAACAATGAAACATGCTCTTCAGACAGACACATCAGATGGTACAGGTGGTCATCACCCAAGGTCAGGGGGCCCAGCAGGTGCCACACTCATGTGCTCACCATGTAGGGTGACATCTGGGGCTCATGGACGGCCAGTCTAACCTGGCACCTGGGCTCCAGCCACCACACCATACCCCCATGGCACTCCCGACTTCTCAGGATGCCTCCGTCTCTATCTTACCGTCCTCCACACAAACCATGGGCAGGCCGGGTGCACACCTATAACCTGAGCAACTCACAGGAGGCTGAGGCAGGAGGATGGCAAGTCCCAGATCAGTCTCAGCAACTTAGTGAGACCCAGTCTCCAAAGAAAAATAAAAAGGGCTGGGGATGTGGCTCAGTAGTGGAGTGCTTGCCAGCGTCATGCAAGGCCCTGAGCTAACCCCCCAGGACTACCAATAAAATAAAAGAAAGAATTTGTCTGGGCAGCCTGCGCCCTCCTGTCGCCCTCCCTCCAAGACAGTCAGGCTTTGGCTAGAGCGGGCAGTGATGTGGCACTGCAGGGCCTGAACTGCCATCTCCTGCCTCCACTAAGGACTGACATCCTCAGGGCCATTTTACAAGTCACTTGAACCAGGTTCTTTGAGAGGCACCTCATGGCAGCTCATTCCTGCATGGCGCTTCTGACCAGGAGACCTTGCTGCTGTTGTCCAGATCAGCACAGCTAACAAAGACACCCCAGATTCACAAAGGCCAGGCAAACAGAATCCCTGAAAGACCTAAGCAAATCCACTGCACCTCACTGTGGTCTCCAGCCCTTCTCAACAAAACCATCTTTCCCACTTGGCTCTCACACATCCCAAACATCAGCCTGCAAACATTTCTCTTTAGAATTTTCTTTCTCTCTATTAAAGCGACTAATCGCAGCATTGGCAATTTCAGTGAACTCAATGTGGGAGGCTCTATCTGAAGACCCCCAACTGCTGAGGAGGCTGTCCACTCAGGGGCTGTCTCATGCACACAAAAAATATACCAGAACATGCCAGCACCTACAAATATACCAGAACACGCCAGCTGCAAAAAGCAGATCAGGGCGAAATACTTTTTCTCAGGCTGCTAAAAAGTGGTAAAGAGGGAGGCTGCACTCTCACCCTCCAGGGCCCCCAGGTCTTTATGGCAGAGAACCAGGGTGTGTTAGTTACTCCAGACGTGAATGGAGGGAAAGCGATACTATGAAGACTACAACCTGACAGTCCCCCCTAGAATACCGATTTCAAATGCTAACAAAACCACATCTTTTTGGATAGGTGCCCCCTTGCTTGCTGCAGCGGGCAGAGAAAAGTTTATACCGACTTGCAGAGAAAAACCAGTTTACAGACTTCCAGCAAGGTCAGTCCTGTGGAGCCCACTCCCAGGGACAGGGATGCCCCAGAGGCAGCACTACTGAACAAGACGGCCAGTGGGGCAGGGAGCTGGAGGCCAGCACAGGCCTTGCCTCTCACTGCCCAGCTGCATCACCTGGGCAGTCCAGGAGCCAGGCCAGACCTCTGCCTCCGCTGCCAGCAGCCACAGACCAGACGACTGTCCTGTCTTCCCAGGATGATGTCCCACAAGAAGGGCATCTAGCAAGGCAACTTGCACATTTAGAAGTCACAGTCTGAAACCCAAGGCTTCTGGCCAGTCGTAAAATTACCTGAAAATTCCATTAAACAAGAATGACAGGGGCTGGGGTTGTGGCTCAGCGGTAGAGCACTCGCCTAGCACGTGCGAGGCCCTGGGTTCGATCCTCAGCACCACATAAAATAAATACACAAAATAAAGTACTGTGTCCAACTACAACTAATAAACAAACAAATAAATACATATAAAAAGGATGACAGTAACCTGAAGTCTTATTGTACCGATCTGCCAGTGTCCAAAAGACTTGGTGTCTCTGCTCCTTAACAAACTCAGTAGTGCCCGAGCTCCAGAGACCACACGGCCACTGACCCTGCCGAAACGCCACCTCCAATGACACCAGGGACCAGCTCCACCAAACACAAGTGCAGGCCATGTCACAGAGGTGCAAAGCAACATATCTCGGCACATCTGGCAAGATGACAAGGGCAACTGGGCAAATGAACTCAACCCCTGAAAACGGAAGCAGCTCACAAAGAGCGAGCGCCTCGCGGTCTTTTCCCAGCTTCCTCCAAGCTACCTCCCGCCACCCCCAGAGCAGCGCTCCTCACAAAGAGGCCCAGGAAGGCCTGTGACTGTGCTGCCACCCGGGGTTCACTGGTCTGAAGACCCCGCCAGCCCGGCCTGGTCCTCCGGGCCCCCGGGGGCCACCACACCATGCTCTTCAAGGATGGCCATGCGTTTAAAAGCAGGCCCTGGCAGAACCGTGCCCTCGCGGGCTCCCACCAGGAATGCGCAGTTTTACGCCGCCACGGAAGGAAACCCTCAGGAACGGCCGGCTCCCCCCAAAAAGCCAGCTCCCAGGCCGTTACCTTTCTCTCCAGCTTCTCCTGCTCTCGGTTCTTCTCCCTGTCGGGGTCCCTGGAGTGCTCCCCGTTTCTCGCTCTCCGCCGCTCCCGGTCCTTGCCCTGGTCGCGGTCGCGCTCCGGGTCTCTGAGCCGCTCCTTCTCCCGCCCCGTGTCCCGGCCTGCGTCTCTGTCCTTGTGGCCTCTGTCTCTGTCCCTCTCTCGCTCCTGCCTGGCCCTGCTCCTGCTTTGCTCCTTCTCCCCTTCCCGGGACTTGTCTCTCTCCGCCTCTTTGTGTCGGTCTCGGTCACTGTCCTTCGTCTTCTCCTTGCCCCTTTCTTTTTCTCTTGACTTGCCGTCTTCTTTCAGCTCTCCTCTCTGCTTTCCATCTCTGCTCGTACTTCTCTCTTTTACTTCTGAATTTCCTCTACCCTAAAAATATATGTATATGTAAGTATAAGCGTTTTTACCTAAACTACCAACAGACCGCTTCATTCCTAAAGGTGCGCCACTGCAGTCACCTCTCTATCTCTGTGAGCTCTCGAGTCGCCTTCCCTCACATTCTTATTGTCCGACTCGTGAGGCTTGGAGGTCCGGGAGGCCCTTCCTCTCGCGTCCGCCTTCTCTCCAGCCAGAACTCTCCGCACTGCGTCCTCGCTGGAGAGCTTTTTCCACAGGCCAGGAGGTGAATGCAAGGCAAAAACGAGATCAGCACGGGCAACAACACAAACGCCAGCAAGGGGAGTTCATTCGACAGATTTTGTATGAGTAAAATTTGAATGAAATATTAAAAGAAAATGTCATTATCACAGACAAAGCCCTGTGTCTCTTGATCACTATGACTAATGATTCATCACTAAGTCCTGGTCCAGTCCCACCCATGCTGCCCAGGGTGGACGTGAGTGTGGTTCAGGAGCAGTAACGCTGAAAACCAACAACTCACAAACCTCTCCACCTCCACTGGGATCAGGGCCCTAGCAGAAAGGGCCTTCAGAGGTGACTCGACCACCTCATTCCCTAAAAACTAGCACGCTCTGAGGCTAGGACACCAAGAGGTGGAGCAAGCCCAGTGCAGGCCTGTGGTGCCTGGAGTAGGGGGCACAGGTGTGGGAGGCAAGGACGGAAGTTGAGGAGCAGCTCCTACAGCGCCCCTCGCCCTGGGCAGGTAAAACGCTGTCCTCAAAGGAGGCAGCACCAGCTTCAAAAGACAGCTTTGGGCCGCCAGGCCAAAAGCAAAGCACCTACGAGGCCCCACATACTACAGAAAGCCTGCCATCCTGTGTTTTGCAGGCCCTGGCTCACAATCACAGAAGCTCCTCCTGCACCTCCAAGCTCCAGAATACTTGGGACCCAACTCAAAGTGCAAGGGTCAATGGGTACCACTGGAACTCCCCCTTAAACACCTCCCACGATATTTAAGTCACTCACTCCCCCTCCACTTCTTGCTACTCAGCACTACTAAGTTTAAAATGCCAGTGCTGCAGTGTCACCGTGTGGATGCAGCACTTTCCAATGATCTGAAGCAGCATTACCTTGTTGATGCAGCACTTTGCAATTATCTGAAGCAGCTCGTTTGTTCTTTCAGGCTCGTGCCCGGCCACGATTCGGGCTGGTTTTGCCAACAAAGGCTCTCCTGAAACCATCATGACCACATCTATGGCCTTCTGGAGGAAGCTAATTTTTGCATCTTTATCCTGAAATGTTTCCATTAAAATAGAAATATTAACATACTTCAAAGAGTTTGCATTATCCTCAGAATGTTTGAAAGACATGGGATAGATCCTCTTTATAGAAAAAACAATTTTTAGATATATGACAAATTTAGAAATACTGACCTTTTATAACACAACAAAATTCATGAAAGCTATTAAGTTAGCTGATGGGCTGCATTAACCTTTGAAATACTAATTCTGCTTTTCAGTCGATAAATTTAGCACAACACGGACTGGCCACAATCAAGAAGATGAAATGAGAAAGGTCCATGCCATTCGTGAGTTAAAGGGCCTCGTCTGCCCACCACACACAGCATTTTCCTCACACAAGGGGTAGCCGCGGCCTAAAACAATCTGTTCACTCGGGGGAAGGACAGGGAGAGGAGGAGCCCCCACGCCAACCTACCTTGACGTTATCTGACTTCATCTCAACATCTGTGTAGAGGCCCTTCATGAACCCAGTGGTCCTAATCACCTTCAAAACACAAAAAAGAAATTCACGCACCTCCCAGGACATCCGCTGACCCCCCCACCAGCGCCCAGGAGTCTCACTGTCCACTCTCGACAAATGTTTACGTCATGAGTGCAGGACGCTGTGGCGCAGAACACAACCAGGCCTCAGGACATTGTGGCTGCAAGCACAAAGAGTGCCAACACCCAGGGGTGCCAGGGCAGCCCACAGGAGGGGAGGGCCCAGGTGCCAGGGACAGCTTCCCAGGGGAGACCAGACCTAAACTGGACCCAGAAGCTAACAGAAGAGCTGGGGAAGAGGGCATTTAGGAAGCACTTGACCAATCAAAGAAATCTATTCCATGAGGGATGGAACAATTCGGATGGAATAAATCTTCTTGTTTGTGGCCAGAGCATGTTGTGCTAATTTATCAACTGAAAAGCAGAATTAGTATTTCAAAGGTTAATGTAGCCCATCAGCCAACTTAAAAGCTTTCACGAATTGTTTCTGTTGTATTATAAAAGGTCAGTATTTCTAAATTTTCAAGGGATCCAGAGAAGTGTGAGACAGCAGGAGTCTGAGGCCTCCAGAGTCCTGGAGGGCCTGACCCAGAGGCTCTTTGCAACCACTTAGGGACACAAACTATGCTTACGAGACCGGGCAGTTCTAACACAGAGAGGCCAGGCCACTCTGAGCTTCACTGGAGTCCCCCAGGCACGGTGGCAGGAATGGATACCAGAAGGAAAAGGAAGAGCTTAGCCTGGGCATCCAAACCAGAATCTCCAGATGGGTCCTCCTCACTTCTTAGGATGGTGGGGTACCATGCATCTATGTCATCACTTCTGTTCTCCTCCTACCTGCCCCTCCCCCTCAGGTAACCTGAACCCTGAAATATCCTGAAAGGGCTGTGGTTTGCTCTGTCCCTCCCTGTCCCCCACCCAGAATCCTGGATATCTTAAGGTCAGAGTTATTAAAAATGTAAGGGTTACTGAAAAATCAAAACAATGGATTTTCTAAAAAATGAAACAGAACAGAAAATATCAGGTGTGTCCTGGGTCAGCTGTAGCTTTATTACTGTGAGTCAGGTTTTAAAAACCAATGGCAAAAGACAGGCCTGGGAGTCAGCCAACTACTGCGTTGTTTTGTTTGGCTTTGTTCTTAGAAGATGGCTAGAATGCGGACTCTTAAAAGCATCCCACCCTTAATGTTCCTGACAAGTGCTCACTTCTTCCGGGTTGAGGTTTTCCCAGGGTGCAGACAGTTTAAATTGTGAGCAGTAACTGGAAGCAACAAGAAACAACATCACAGAACCCTGCTTAACCTAATGAAAAACGCTGTTAGTTCGCTACAGCTCCATATTTAGACACTGACTTGAACAAGACATTCAGGGGCAGTAAGAATCTTCACAGGACACTCTCCACCCACCATCTAAAAATGCTTTTCAGCATGTCAGCCATTCTAACGCCTTGTCAAGCAGGTGTCAGTGCATTTATCTTGACACCGAAAAAGAAATTAATTTCAGCATTAGAAAAAGTTCAGAAGAAAAGCAGACCTATTCCCAATGGAGCATATACCTCACTGCATACCTGCCTACCAGGCCACAGAGTGGATTCCTGCTTGAATGTTCCTCCTCCATCCCACAAAACACCCTTGGACCAACCAGGACATGGTCATTAAGCCACACCCACAAGCTCCCCCAGGATGAGCAAACTCCCCTGTGGCACTCCCCTCTTCTAACCCTGCCATTCCTTTTGGTTACCTGCAGCATTCTCACTGAAAGGTCCTCCCTAAGTCCTGAGAATGGAAGTATTCTTTAGGCTCCCTCCCCCTCAAAGTTTCTCTTCCCTCCAAGTGCCTTCCTCGGGTGGCCCTACATTTCATGAGCTGCCAGGAGCAGCACAGGAAATGAGGTATAGCTTTGCAGCCTCAGCTCCAACAGTGCAGGCTCCAGGCAGGCCAGTTTTTCCTCGCTCCCTCAGGATCAGGGGATGGCACCTGCTACTTCACAGAGTGGTGGTGACAGAGCACACTGCCTGGCTCCCATGGGACTCTCTACACAGCTGGGTCCCTTCCCCATACACCATCCAGGACAGGCTGTAAGAGCTGTGCAATCCAAGAGAAGGGGACCACCAGTCAAAATAGGAGTGTGGGTGATTCCCAGAGCTTTTCCGCATGAGCAGGTTTGGGACAGAGACACACGTTCCAGGAGAGTACACACCGCAGCTAGTAGGATGGCCAAAATCAACAAGGAATGAGAACCCTCACGCCGTGAGGCTAGGAGCCCTGGGAGCCTGCAATCTGACCCCTAAGTCCCAGAGAGCACCGGGGCCCCTGAGCCCTCTGGTGCACCCTGAAATGGGTGCTGCCACCCTTGAGGCAACACTCCTGAGTTACTAAGCACCTGGACAGACTGCCAAACAGTGAATGTTTGTTGTGCAATTTCTATGTACCCAGTGCAGCTCACTGGAGATGCACTAACAAATCAGTACCGTCCTGTCATTGAGAAATTCACCGTCCTTAAGTGAGAAAGTCACAGCGACAATAACCTCAAGTTAAAGCAGGCTGTGCAGTTTATCAACAAATATCAAACGACATTTTTACAGCTTTCCTTTCAGGTTCCCCTACAACCAACATATTTATTCTCCTTCGTGTATTTATTAAGCATTCTAACTCCGGTGACTGCACCAAGCAGTCGTGAGAGAAACTCTGAGGAGGGAGCCTAAAGAATAGCTCCACCCTCCCAGGACTTGCGGAGCACCTTCCACGTGAGATCGCTGCAGGGCAACCAAGGGGAATGACAGGTTAGAGGGGAAGTCACACAATCGGTTCTGCCAGCAGAACCACGAAGGGCTCTGAAGAGACACGCCTGTGGGTAGGAAAGAAACGGGAAGGTTCCCGGGGCCGGGCGCCCGCGACCCCAGCTACCTGGGAGGCCGCGGCAGGAAGATCGCGAGTTCAGGGCCAGCCTGGGCGACCGGTCGAGGCCCAGTCTCAAATTAAACGTAAACAGGGCTGGACGCGGCTCGGCCGGGGAGGCGCGCAGAGGCACAGCGCCCCGCGTCCAATCCCCGGGCCCCCGAGGCGGGACCCCGGCAGGAGCCGGCCCTGCGCTCCCGGTCTGCAGCTCCCAGCCGATCTCCCGGCGCAGCGCCCCCCCCGGCCCGGCCCACGCCGCCCGGCGCGCACCTCCGTGACGATGTCGTGCAGGTAGCGGAACGGGGGCTTGCTCAGCAGCTTCTCCGTCAGCGGCGGCCTGCGGATCACCTTGCCCAGCGCCTCCTGCGTCCGCCGCACCACCGCCGCGTTCATGGCGGTGCCGCCGCGCGACTGCCCGCCCGCGCCGCTCCGCCCGCCGGGTCCCCGCGGCCGCAGCAGAGAGCCGGACTCCCATCCCACAATGCACCGCAGCGCGCGCTGCGCCTGCGCGGCCCGCCCGCGGTTGCCAGGGCTGCGCGGCCTTAGCAACGGACGCTCGTGGGGCCCGCCTCTCCCGAAACCCGCCCTCATAGGCCCCGCCCCGGACGCAGTCCCGCCCACCGCCTATCCCGGACCGCAGCGCTCGCCCCGCCCACAGCCCCCCTGACCCACTTCGCTTTGCTGCCCGCTTGGCAGCCGGCTCCGCAGCCCCGCCCCTCCGCAGCGTAGCCCTGCTGTCCCGCTGCCCTGCTGCCCAGCTGACCTCCTGACCAGCCCGCTCTGCCCACTGGCGGAGGCCGCGGTGGGCCGCCTAGCACAAGCAGCTCCCAGGACCTGCGCTGCCTGACAGGCACAGTTCCAGGGGAGCGGTAGGCTCAGGTGAATGGACGGGGCTGCGCGGAGTCCTCGCACGTGGTACTCCACGTGGCTTCTTGGGCAAGGGCTTGTTTTCTCTGACAATTCATTTCTGTTCCTATAAAGGAGGATACTAACGTGTCGCCCAGGAAGGTGAGGACTGCGTGATGTCCCCTGTTCACCGGGCGTCGGATTCTGTCCCACCTCCTGTCCGACCGGCACAAACCCTCTCGGCAGTGTGGGGGCTCTGTATTCTGCGTTTATTCTTCCAGTGAATGCTTTTATGGCTTTTTAATTTACATTCACTTTTTACCATTTTGCATACTTTTCGTTCTTTGTGTAGATCTAGATTTCCACCTGGTGCGTACTCCTGTCTGAAGAACTCCTTCTTTAGTATGTATTTTTGCACCGTTAAGCTGGCAACTAATGCTTCATCTTTTATGTATCCCAAAATCTTTATTTCATCTTCACATTTGAAAGAATTTACCACGCTCAAATGGGGGGAGGTTGTATAGACTACCAATCTCAAGTCAGGCTGTATGGCTTATCAATAAATACTAAACTGCATACTTTTTTTTTCTTCAGTACTGCCCCTTGAACTCAGGGGTGCTCTACCACCGACCTACATCCCCAACCCTTTTTAGTGATTAGTGATTTTGAGCTTCATTTCCTGTACATTTTGGATATTCCTATGTCTTTAATGCATATAGTCCATATGGTATCATTCAAACATTTATTGAATCAGTATAAAAGATACTATCTAGATACTGGGAGTTTAATGGGGAACTACATTCCATTTTTTTAGTTTTGTTTAGTTTGTTTTGTGTTTCTTTGTTTTTTGTTTGTTACTGAGGATTCAGTGACACAGGATTCAGTGGATTCAGAGGTTTCAGTGATTCCGAGAGACGGAATTGACAACACTCCCTTCAGAAAGCCAACCAAGGTCCAGGGAAAGAGTCCCCAAGGAATTGCGCTCTCAGAGAGGTTCCAGCCTGGCTGGCATCCCTTCTTAACCCTTCCCTGGCCTCAGGTGCCAGCTGCTAAGAGCCAAGTATATGATGCATGGCATTTTTGGTCGAAAGGTGACGCCAGCTAGCCAATGAGATGGTATGATTATGTTAAGATTTGCATTCATATGGATATTGGACTCCTGCTGTTCACCTAGGCCGGCTACGGGACTCCTGGAGAGTTCCCATTGGTTGGGGAAGTACAGGAGGAGGGAGTTCGGGGGAGGAGCTCTCTCCGCGGGTTCCGAGAGGAGGCCGCGTGGGTGGAAAAAATCTTCCCGGGTGGTACCGGACATTGGTGGCAGTTTCAAAAAATAAAAACTTTGTTCCTGCTTGAGTGGCTCGTGATTTTGTGCCCAGCCAGACTGCGGCAGCCAGCCTCTGACCCTGGCCTTGTCCAGTCTTCCTGGCTTTCTGGATGCCTGCCCCACAGGGGCCTTGGGGTCTTCCCACCCCATTCCCCCACACTGCATTCCCCAGAGCCTGAGTCTCCAGTCCAGATTCATACCCCAGGGCCTTGGCAGAGCAGCCCACAGTGGTGTGTGGCACTGCAGTCCCTTGGAATAGTCCAGAGTGACCATGGACATGAACCAGGCTTCTTCCAGGGCCTCCAGAGTCCCATTACCCTCCTGATGACCGGCGCACAGGTCCTTCCCCGCACACATTCTCCTTCCCAGAGACCAGCTTCAGTCCTCACGTAGCTTATCAGCTCCCACAGAGAACAGAACACTTCTCCAAAGAGCTCATCTGCAGCTGGCTCCTTGTCATGGAGGCTTCCACCAAGATTTACAAGGAAGGCCTGGGAGGCCAGGCAAAGTGCAGCAGGGTTGGGGTCCCTGCAGGTGCCCCTGAGAGGGTGAGGCATGAAGATGTGAGAAGGAAGTCAAAGCTGCAGCAGAGACACCCCCTGCCATGCAAGATTAAGAGATTCCAGTAACGTGGGACGTCTGCCCGGGGAAGCTACAGAAATAGATCAGAAACAAGCTGAGAGAGAGGGCAAGTGAGCTGCCACCAGCAAGGTCACAGGGGTGGAGCTACACAAGCTCTTTGGGGAAAACACGAAGATGCCCTGTGCCCAGATGCTGGGTGCGGAGCTACAGGACTTGTTTGCCCAGTTGAATTTTGGTCTTGCTTCGGCTCAGACCCTTCCTTCTGTACCCTTATTTCTCCCTTTTAAAATGGAAATATTTATTCTATGACATTCTGTACTGGATATATGGAACTTGCTTTTGATCTTAACAGGGAAAAAAGCTAAGAGTTTGCCTTGAGTCTTAGAAGAGATTTTTAGACTTAGGCTTTTGGGCAGTACTGGAACTGTTAACTGGAACTCTTCATCATGTACAACCACAAAAATGGGAAGTTAGACTCCAGGTGTGTATGATATGTCAAAATACATTCCACTGTCATGTATAACAGAAAAGAACAAACTTAAAATTTTTAACAAATAGAAAGATTACGGGGACTCCAGAATAACCAAAGCAAATGCAAGCCAAAAAAGCAATGCTGGAAGCATCACAGTAATTGACACAGTTATGAAAACTGCATGGTACTGGCATAAAACAAATGTATGGACCAGTGGTACAGAAGAGAGGTCACAGAGACAAACCCACACATCTATAGTCACCTGCTCCTTGACCAAGGTACCAAAAACGTATGTTAGAGAAAACAGCCTTTTAAACAAACGGTGCTCAGAAAACTGATTTTGCATATGTACAAGAATGAAACTAGACCCATATTTTTTACCCTGTATAAAAAAAAAATCAGGGGCTGGGGTTGTAGCTTAGCGGTAGAGCGCTCTCACACGTGAGAGGCCCTGGGTTCAATCCTCAGCACCACATAAATAAATAAAAAAGAGATATTGTGTTCAATTACAACTAAAAAATAAATATTTAAAAAAATCAACTCCAGAACTGGAGAGGGTCCTGCTAGGTGCAATAACCCAGTCCCAAAACACCAAAGGCAGCATGTTCTCTCTGATATGTGGACGCTAACTCACGAGGAGGGAAAGAAGAACAGAAGTTCATGGGCTAGACAAAGGGACTTGAAGTGAAGGGAGGGAGAATGGGAAGAGAAAGGTAGTAGAATACAGTGGTCATGACTCTTCTATGTTCACATATGAATACACAACCAGTGAAACCCCACACAAGTACAACCCTGAGAATGGGAAGTTAGACTCCACATATGTATGATGTGTCAAAATACATCCTACTATCATGTATGACCAAAAAGAACAAATACATTTAAAAAAAGTCAACTCCATATGAATCCAAGACCTCGGAATTAGACCAGAAACCATGTAACTCCTAGAAGAAAACCAAGGGTCAACTCCAGCTTTTAGGCTCAGGCAGCGACTTTCTCAATTAGACCCATAAGGCTCAGGAAAGAATGCCAAGAATTAATAAATGGGATGGCATCAAATTAAAAAGCTTCTATACAGCAAAAGAAACAATTAGGAATGTGAAGAGAATCCACAGAACGGGAGAAAATCTTTGCCAGTTTATCTAATCTTTGCCAGCTTAACTAACCCTCTGACAGAGGATTAGTTCAAAGAATATATAAGGAACTCAAAACTTAATACCAAGAAATCAAATAAGCCAATTATTAAACATGTAAATGAATTAAATAGATACTTCTGAAAAGAAGAAATACAAATGGCCAAAAAAATATATGAAGAAATGTTTAACATCATTAGCAATTAGAATGGCTGTCATCAAGAATTCAAACAAAAAGAAAATGAAAAAAGAAAAAATATGTTAAAAATTTTAAAAAGTAAAAACAAAAGAAAAAAACACAACAAAATAATAATAAATAAATAAAAAGAATACAAATAATACTTGCTGGGCACAGTGGCTTGGTAGACTGAGGCAGGAGAATTGCAAGTTCAAAGCGAGCTTCAACAATTAGGAGGCCCTAAGCAATTCAGTGATACCCTGTCTCTAAATAAAATAAAAAATTTGGATGTATTATCAAATTTAAAAAAAAGAGAAAGAAAAGGATACATACAATATGCAGGCTGGGGTTGTGGCTCAGTGGTAGAGCATTTGCCTAGCATCACATATAAATACATAAATAATAAGGTTCCATCAACAACTAAAAAAAAATAAAAACAATAATAAATTCTGGAGAGAATGTGGAGAAAAATGACAAATTTTTACACTGTTGGTGAGGTTGTAAATTAGTACAACCACTATGGAAATTAGTATGTAGGTTCCTCAAAGGACTAGGCATGGAACCACCACGTGACCCATCTGTACCCCTCCTCTGTATTAGTCCTGAAGATTAAAGTCAGCACACTACAGTGACACGTGAACATCCATGTTTACAGCAGCACAATTCATAGTAGCCAAACTATGGAACCAGCCTAGGTGTCCATCAACAGATGAATGGATAAAGAAAATGTGGTACATATACACAGTGGGGTTCTATTGAGCCAGAAAGAAAAATAAAATTATGTCATTTGCAGGAAAATGGATGGAAGTAGAGACAATTATGTTAAGCAAAATAAGCCAAAAGCAGAAGATCAAAGGTCATATGTTTTCTCTCTTATGTGAAATTGAGAGGAAAAAGGGAAAGGAAGG